GGGGGCGGGCGGGGACCCTTGGCGCTCGCTGCGCGGCGGCGGATGCCATTGTCTGCCCCGCTCCTTTCCTGTCACCTCGCCGGGGCTCGGTCAGTGATGGGAGTGCGGCCCCGTGGGGCGGTGGGGCGGCATCGGAGACGGCCGGACCGAGGAAACGCTGGCCCCAAGCCCGTTCCGCGGCTGAGCCCATTGTTTTTAATACCAATCTCGAGGAATTGAGGTGGCCTTGGATTTGCGACAAAATCAAAGCATTAGTTTTTAACAAGAGGGAATGAATACTTGTGCCTTGCAACCGAGTATCGTCCCATATTAGCACATCATTTATTTTAAAGAGTGAATTATTTGTCCTATAAAGTGGTAGGGAGAGGGATACAGGACCCTGCCACAGACTGCCCTGAAGCCCATACTCCTTTCAAAAGCAAACCCCCACCCCTCCTGGTCACCAAGATCCTGGAATACGGGTCTATTTTCCAAGTTCTGATAACGGGCTTGCATTAAATGTCCAGTTGATGCTTTACTTGCTGTCCCCTTCGAATGTCGCTATCTTAACAGGACTTGTATGGGAGGCACTTGGATATCACAAATATTGTTCGTTAATTTTGTGGCAGTGAAGCGTTTTAAGTGACGTGTAATAAGCCAATTTTAACTTTAATAAAGTTAAATTGCCGCATCATAAATTTCTTAATGTCTTGCTGATGCCTGTTTGGATTAATACAAAAAGCGGCGATAATTTCTTAGCGAAATTTAGGGCCCATTTTATTCAAAATTGGTTGTGTAAATTCTCCCACCCCCATGTTCAAATTCAAGATGGTGTGGTGAATATTAAGAATCATGCTGGAATCTTATTTGCAGTAACACTATTAAAGGAACTTAACAATAGTTAAAAGAAAAAAAAACCTGTCTGAATTCTACTTTTAAATTACCTTTGTAGAAACAATGCTTATCTGTTTGCAATTGAGGAGACCAGTTGAATTACAAGAAGCTTTTCTTGTACACTAATCAACAGATTTTATATACAAAATAGTTTTAAGTGTAAAATACACCAGAATTCAGCGTCCACTCTATCTGTAAATGCCTTTTTTTTTAAATGAAGTATTTCGTGTAATGTCTCTGAATGTGTGTAACTCTCATGTTGGCTTTTTAAAGGTTTTTATTCTCTTTTATAATATTACATTACCACTTCTTTATGATGTGCATATTTATGTTGGAATTTTTAAAAAGATGAAAAGAGATACTTAAAAATTAGGTTTTCATTAAGAACAATGTTCATTTATGGGACCTTTTTTCTTGGTTAATATTTTAGGTCTTGTTTTGCTTAAAATATGTAAGCATAAACTGAAGACAGCACTCTAAATGATAGCGGTCTGTTTACGTGTAATTCATCCTGGAGCTAGAACAGCCTCAGAGTGAAAAATAGTAGATCTCCTGTTTCTTTCAAATGTACCTAAACCAGTTGAGGTCAACAATTCTCTTTTGATGCATATAGAGAGTGGAATATAGCACAGGTAGACAATAGTTTCTTAAATAGCAAGTTATCTTTCTTTTTCCTCAAAAATTTCACTCCAAGTTAATCCTCTGTTTCTTTTTGTTCTACAGACTCAAAACTTACGTGGAACAGGGTGGGGTGGGGAGATTTGCATTTGGTGGGAAGATCTTTCTACAAGAATTTCCTGCTATTTTAACTGGCATGGAAATATTGATGGCTAATAATCATTTGTCAGTTAAACGCCCTGCTCCCCAAAGCTTCTCTATGAAACATGTTATCTTAAGCTTAACTTTATTGTATCAAAGTGTTGCATGTAATTTTTTTTCTATTTATCTTAACAGATGCAGTTTATGTTGCTTTTCAGTCGTCAGGGAAAGCTTCGACTGCAGAAATGGTATGTCCCATTATCAGACAAAGAGAAGAAAAAGATCACAAGAGAACTTGTTCAAACCGTTTTAGCACGGAAACCTAAAATGTGCAGCTTTCTTGAGTGGCGAGATCTGAAGATTGTTTACAAGAGGTATAATTTTTATTTCTCAGAAAGGTGAAATAGAATCAAATGTGTTTGGTCATTTGTAATGTGGAAATTGCAGGCTTTTGAGAGATGACATTTATAAATAGTGATTAAGAAAGATTTAGATGAAAAGGGTTTTAAGTTAAAGCTTTCTATTTTTAAAATAACTGTTTTGATTGATTACACAGGCTAAAATGATAAAATCAGGGAAGTTGTTTTAAAACTAATTATATAATTAAAGTATAAATGATTATTCATGCTTAATCATCTTTTTTTAGAAAAATTCAATGAATTCATACCTTTGCAGGGAAATATAAGATCGGTATTTTAAATTGTGTAATTCTCTGAATTTAGACAAGCATTCACCCCCTCCCATTCCCCCAAAATCTGTAAAGTAATGGCTGATAATTGACATGCCTTTTATCTGACTTTTAGAATCTTACTTATAAACACCTTGGATACATAGACCATTTCAGTCATATAGATGTTTTAAAATGTTGTGTATACATACAGGATCTCCTTGTTAGTAATGTTTAATTTGAAGTACACTTGTTGCTGTGGTGGAGGTATGATTAGATCTGATAATTTTGCCACGAATAGATTTAAAATTTTTAATGTTGCAAAATGACTCATAGTTTGGCTTTGAACACAAAGCGTTTTTAAAAACGCTATATATCTTTATTAGTATCTAAACTCTTTTAATACCTTAAAATAAATTTCTCAAGATTGTCCTAATCAGGTTAAAATAAAAATAATTGCTTTGTTTCTTTGCCATTTCTGTTCCCTTACGAATAATTTACTGTGTGATGTGAGGGTTTCTGCATAGGAAAAATTCTCTTCTGTGGGGGATGTGCAGGGAACTAAGACAGGAGAATTGAAGAGAAATCTGGGTTTTATCTCAGCTTTTCTGTATTCCACTCCAAGTATGAATGGGGTTTATTGTGGGGGAGATGGCAGAGAAAGTCATGGAGATTATAGGACATAAAGAATTTTTTAAATACCATAGGCTCCTCTTTACAATAGAATGAATTTAGTCATTTTTGGGTGATTTTGTATCCAGTGTTTGGTTTAGTACTTACTTGTTGAGAAAAATCAGAAAAGTCATAGCATTTTAGAGCTAGCAGATGTCTTAGAATAATCTAGTTAAGTGATTTTTATTATTATTATTAGTATTGAGGTAAAATTGGTATATAACATACTACTTTTCAAGTGATTTTTTTAAAGCTTTTTGCCCCAAGAATAGAACCTTAAATGAAACAAGTGGAAGTGAAGGTGCTCTTGTGAAATCAAGACTGGAATCCTGTACCCCTAACTTACTTTGCCTCTACCCTCTGCATAGGAGATGGTTCCTGATTTTGAAAGCCGCTACTGTTGATCAAACTTCAATTTTATTAAAAACCCGAGAATTTGGGAGAAGTGACTTGTCCAAGGTCATATGCTAGTTAGTGACTGACAGGAGCTAGAACTCAAATCTTAAGCTTGGAGGCAAAGATTTTAAACGGGGGCAAAAAAAAGAGCAGATTTGCCTTTCTTAACTGATCCTTGTAATTGGAGAATGGGTGGGGGAAGGGCTGAGGCTGGCACCTAAGGGACCTGTTAGGAGATTGCAAGCATTATAATGAGTTCCTGCAGGAAGACCTTGCTGTGGGCTCAGCAGGTGGAAAGAGCTGTTAGCCTGGTAAGTTTTATAAGACTTGGTCACTGCTGGAAGTGGGGAGGGCAGTGAAAGAAGGGGAGGAGTGGAAGGAAAACACATTTCTGGGAGGTGAATGGTGAGCTAGTAGACAACTTGACTTTGAGATGCCTCATTTTCTGGGGGTGGGCATAGACATGGAAGTCGGGAAGGGGATTAGGCATAAAGTGTTAGATCCCCAACAGTCAAGCTGCAGGCAAAGGGAGAGAGGGTAAGTATAGGATCAGTAACTTCGGGGAAGAGGAGAGAGTTTCAAAAATAACGTTACCAGTGCCAAATGTTGCATTAAATTCAATTAAAGTGAAGAAAGAATCTATTAGATTTTTACAGTGAGTATTTCATTTAGCGTCCTTTGTCAGAACATTTCAGTTGAATAGTAGAGACAGAACTCTCGAAGAAATGGGGTGAAGTGTGAGGAGGTGGAGACATTTAAACAGAAGTGTAGACTATTTGGGGATCTTTGCTCTGAAGGACAGAAGAGGTGGTAACCACCCATAGATATCAGAGTGCGGGACAAAAAGGTGTGAGAGATTTAAGCTTATTTTTAGATAGGGGAAGGAGTCCCCCGTGTGGAGGAGGAAAATACTAGCAAGGGAATCAATCCCATGGAATCCAAAGGAAATGGCCTGTTAAAGGAAAGGAAAGAAAGCAGTAGTGGGTGTTCTTGTACACAGCATTTAGCCCACCCATGTTTGCTGCCGTTTTCTTTTAAGGGCTATAAAGGACAATCTAACCTGACTCTGATACTTGCATTAAGCTCCTATGAATAAAAGGTACACTTAAAAAAACAAGCTTTATCGAGATAAAATTCACATACAAAAGTTAGACTTTATAGTCCGTATTTCCATGCATCCCCTCCCATTTCATACGGAAAAGCTCATCTATTGTACTTAGGACATATTTTTTGTTGTTATAAGCAGGTGATTATTTTCCCTAGTCCAGCTTGAAGAGAAGACCTTTTAAGCAAAAGAATTCCCGCTTAGCTCCTGAGAAATTCTGTATTAGCTCTTTTGCTGTTCGGATCAGCAAGTGGTCTTTGTCTTCCTTCCTGAAGTTGTCTTCATTCACTTTCTCCATCCTGAGCATTTTGCATAAGATAATATAGCTGGAAAGACAAGACTGAAAGTCTGGGGACTTGAGTTCTATTTCATTTGTACCATTAGCTAGTTTTCTGACTTTGAGCAAGTCATTTGGCCTTTGTTTCCTCATCCCTAAAATGCACTTGAAGATCCCTTGAAGACATAATGCCGTATGCTTTTTGTTTTTGGTTCCCATTTTATGCAGCATGTCACGGAAGAGGCATTGGATTAAAGTCTTAAAATTAAAAAATACGTACATCTCCAAATTACTGAGTTTAGAATTTGTCAAAGAGTACTATGTTGATTTTCTTTACTAACAAAAGAATTTTTAATGACATACCAGTGGGTATTGAGAACAGATACGTTCACCCACAGTCAGCTGATATTTAGCTGACTGCAGAGAAGTCATGTGTTTTGAACATAAGAATAGGCACTTTCAGATGTTCTCTTGAGTGCCAGTAATTAGAGTAAGCCTTAATCCACTCTGCTAAAAATAACCAAACATACCTTCTTACTAGTCTATTAATTTTACTTCAGATTTAGACTTACAAATATGCACTAAGAGAACAAAATGAGCTTATTGAATTTTTAAAAACCATTTGGTTCTAAAAATAAGGAGTACACTTCAGGTTCTCTTGGTAATCTTTTACTAAATCAGTATAACAATTTTTATCTCTCCCTCTTCAAAGCTGTTAAAATACTGCTTTGAATATATTTTAATTTTTTCCAGGTGCAGGATTACTTTATTTAATACAGTTCCTGGCTATAGTTTTTAATATAAAACTTGGGTTCTAGTGTCAAATTGCTGTTCCTGGGGAGGTTGCTCAATTAAGCCTGGGTAATGAGTAATAATGGTATCTCTCTGGAGGGGTGGTTGTGAGGATTAAAATGGTAGAAGATGCAAAAGCCTTAGCTAGTATTTAGTACCTCGGTCAGTGAGGACTCACTTAATGTTACCTGTTATTATGCTTCTGTTTCTTCCCTAAGCTTTCTGGAAAGAGGTGCCTTATAATCCTGAATAACTAAATGTTCACCTACAATGAAGAATTCATTTAATTTGATGGCTGTTTTTCCATTCTGAGAGCAAACATTTAGAAATGTGTTGCGGGGGTTTAAAAAATATTACTGGTTGGTGCTTAGACACATCAGTCCTGGTGATAATTTAAGTTAATATTTCCAAATAATTTGTACAATTTAGGACCTTTGACTAGTGTTTAAGTGCTGTTCATTTGTACGTAGAGGCAGTACCATGGATAAGGAGCAAGAATGGTGCAAGCATTAGATTGCTTAACAGTAGCATCAAAGAAACCTTGAAATTAAAAGAAATTTTACCCAAAACTGATTATTAGTGGATTCTTTCTAATGGAATTATTTAGCACTCTGTTCATGTTAGCTAGCCATGTCTGGTTTTTATCTACCATTTTTAATGTCAGCCCCTTTAATCTTTAGTTTTCTTAGTTCAGGGAATCTTATGTGTCATTTGTATCAATTTTCCCAAAGTCAGAACTCTTATTTGGTGAGCAAGGTTTAGGGAGGATGGAGAGTTGTAATACCCAATTGCCTTTTAAACAGATAAACAAAAACATAGGGTATTGCTGGGAAAGAGACGAAGCACTTTGTTCAATGGAGGTGGGGCCGTGTTATGGCCTTCATGATAATAAATGAATGCATTTGAATGTCTCCTCTCTAAGACTGCAGGAGACCCACGATTTTAAATAACTTAACTGAATGTAGAAGGCAGGTAGAATGGGCATGGCAAAAAGTCATACTGTGTATGACAAGGGAGTCCGTGGTGGTAAAAAGGCCTGGAGATCAGATTTCTTGTCCCAGTATAACCACTTGGCAGGCCCTGTACTCTTGGGCTTCAGATTTTTATTTTTGTTTTCTCTTCCATTATCAAGGAGGATGGTGTTTGCTGTTGGAAAGATCAAATAAGATGAAATGTTTTTGATAATATTGAAATTAGTAGACTCTTATGTAAATACTATTCTTATACTGAACATCAGGAATTCATTGAATTCCAAAACTGAGATTGTGTGTTTGTATAGTCTTTTACATTAATGTTGTGAGCATTATGAGCATTCTTATTGTGTATATTATTTTACATTAATGCTGAGCAGTAATTGCCCATTGTGTTTTCTAAAAATCACTTAAGCGCTCCTCAGTGAAAATTACAATCTCAACTGAAATTAGTTTGGAATGTCTTAGATTTTTATTTTCTTTTAAAAGCCTTAAATACACTTAAACTGATTGAAAAATGCTCTTTTAATCCTCCTCAAAGGACTTAATCATCATTTGCTATGCCTCGAAGATTGTATATTAATAAGTTTTGGCTTTCTTGGGTTAAGTATAACCATCTGCTAGAATCCTAACTTGGAGAAGAATATGAGTTTTCCAACCTTATTCCTTCTTCAAGGGTGAATAATATAAACTTCAACTCAACAGGGTAGAACTTGGAAAATTGGAGGACAGTTCTCAGTTTTCCCTGTTTTCCTTCTTTAACTTATGTAATAACTTGGACCTGTTGTTATTTTCTTGGGGATTATTTTACAATCTAGAAACCTCCTTTTAAAAAATAATTCTATGCTATTAGAAGTCAAGATAGTAGTTACTCTTGGGGATGGAAGAGGATAGGAGAGTAGTTTCAGGGGTTCAGTAATCTGTTTCTTGATCCAGGTGCAGGTGGGTTTACTTGGAAAACTCATTGAGTTACACATTTATGACTTGAGATTTTTCTGTGTGTATATGAGGTGTGATCACAAAATACGGTGAATGTTTAAATTTAAAAAATGTATTACAGTAAAAGACACATTGCCATTAACCCCCTCAAAATCCTCCCCCTCGCTTTGAACACACTTATCCCATCATTCTTGCCACTTTCTGAAGCAGTTCTGGAAGTCCTGTTTAGTGAGTGTCTTTAGTTGCGCTGTCATGGCTGCCTCAATGTCCTGAATCAATTCAAAACATTTTCCTTTCATGGTCATTTTGACTTTGGGGAAGAGCCAGAAGTTGCACGGTGCCAGATCCGATGAATAAGGTGGATGAGGACACACCGTAATGCTTTTATTTGACAGAAATTGCTGTACCAGAAGCGATGTGTGACATGGAGCCTTTCCGTTGTGATCACAAAATAGGGTGAATGCTGCTGCCAAGTTTCATCCAGTGGAAAGGCAGGGCTCTTCAATATGGGAAGCAGCACGTCGAACCTTAGTTACAGTGTGTGACAAGTTCCAACTTGTTCAGTGCAGTCAGTTGGGTGTCAGCTATGGTTGAGAGAGGGTGTGTTTTAAAGTGTGCCGTAAATCATCCTCCATCATGACAAGGCTCCGTGTCACACATCGCTTCTGGTATGGCAATTTCTGTCAAATAAAAACATTACGGTGTGTCCTCATCCACCTTATTCATGGGATCTGGCACCGTGTGACTTCTGGCTCTTCCCCAAAGTCAAAATGATTCAGGACATGGAGGCAGCCACGACAGCGCAACTAAAGACATGAAAGAGGACTTCCAGAACTGCTTCAGCAAGTGGCAAGAATGATGGGATAAGTGTGTTTGAAGCAAGGGGGAATATTTTGAGGAGGATTAATGACAATATGTCTTTTACTGTAATAAAAATTTTTTAAAACATTCACCGTATCTTTTGATCACACCTCATATTACACTTCAATAAAACATTCCAGAACATTGACTTCACGTTGACAATATCTTCAATAAGTCCTTCAGTTGGAGAGTTTATTTTCTTCCCTGTTTACTTGTCGTTTGTATTAGTCATGTAGCACATTTTGTTTTAATTAAGTAAACTTTAGACAACTTGGGTTCTAGAATCTATATAGAAAGGAGCCTGAAAGGAGGAAGAGCAAAATAGTCTTTCTAGATGGTGTGATTGAGTGATTACTTGTTTTCTTTTTTGTGTGCCAATACTTTTCAAAATTTCTCTTATGTATTTACTACTTTTGTAATTTAGGAGAAAAATAATCTGTACTGTTGTAAAAGAGGAAGCAAACTGTATAAGCATGGGGCCTTTCACAATAGGAAATGAAAATATATTTAGGAACCATGATTATAGAGTAAAACTTTTTTCACATTTGTGTTTTGTCACAGATATGCTAGTCTGTATTTTTGCTGTGCTATTGAGGATCAGGACAATGAACTAATTACCCTGGAAATAATTCATCGTTACGTGGAATTACTTGACAAGTATTTTGGCAGTGTGAGTAGTATTTTGTTTTAGGGAATTAAATGCTGTAGTTTTTTAAAAACTCTTTTCTATAACAAGTTTATTATTTGATTGTCTTGGGGATTCTGACTATTTGATAATAACTGCGGGAAAGGGAAGGAATAACGCTATTTCTTGTCTGTGTGCCTAGTCAGTTAATCGCTAAAATTACTTGACCCCCACAGACCTATTCATTTAATTATGCTGGTGAGAATGAGGTTTAAAATAGTGGAATAGAAAGCAGTCCAACTGCAAGGATTAATATTCTGGAAATGCTTTGTAGAATTTAGATTTGGTTAGCAATTATAATAATCATGGTACCCAGGAATTATGTATTTTAAAAGATCAGTTTTTACAAGTAGAAAAGTTGCCCATGTTGGGAGCTTGCATAGTTGGGTCTTACTTAGCTTGTAGGTATTGTGTTTTCCAGTACTTGAGATTTGAAAATTAAGCTGACTAAATCAATGATGCTTAGTTAGCAGGATTGCCATTTTTAGAAAGAATTAAGATGGATTCACTCTGATTAGATTTTATTCACTACCTGATAGTTGATAAGTATCTTTTGCTTTCTTCACTTTTAACATTATTATTATTATTATTATTATTATTATTATTATTTTTGCTTTTCAGGTGTGTGAACTTGATATCATCTTTAATTTTGAGAAGGCTTATTTTATTTTGGATGAGTTTCTTTTGGGAGGGGAAGTTCAGGAAACATCCAAGAAAAATGTCCTTAAAGCAATTGAGCAGGCTGATCTACTGCAGGAGGTAAGCTACTTGGAGTTCTCTTGACTAGATACTAGCATGTTTTGTTTTTGCTAGGAAGTTTCAGTCATCTTCTTTCATTCTTACAGTTTCAGAAATTACTCTGAAGCATGCTTGGCATGTAGTGTCCATGTGCAGTTTATTGATTAAAGTATGTGTTCGTCACGTCAACTCAGTTATCCGTGAATGGGTCATTTACTTTGAAGATGCTCTGTCATATTGATGGCCCATCTTGGACCTCAAAACACTAGAATCTAAACCTTTAGAGGACAAACTACTTTAAGAAGGGAAGAGATTGATCAAAAGTAACAGTAATTTGAGAACTCTCCATCCATTGTTCTGAATTACTTAAGATAACCCCTTTTCTCATTAATGTAGATAGATAATCAGGAGTTGACAGAGATTATGGTATTTTCATTCCAAATTGGTTCATAATTTATTTCCATCTCATGTCCATTAAGTGCAAATGTAGCCAAGCAAGTGATAGGGTTATAATTACACTTTCTGTAGAACCCTCTAGTTTTGTGTTAAGAAGACTAAAAAGTATTTGTATTTCTCTTTGCTCTTCTTATAACAAACCATGTTCTGTCAAAGGACTACATTCTTATCTTGCCTTGATTTCACCAGGGCCATTAATAAGCCCCCTTTCCTTTCTAATTTCTACAGTTGTTCTGGGTTAATTGTATATTTGATGCTTCTGTACCTTCGATTTCTGAAGTTTAAAATTTCATAGCTAAGGCTACCTTTTTCTAAAAACTTAATGATATCTTAATTAAGGTACCAAGTTGAATTATGCTTTAGTGATAATTGTGGTTTTAATCAAACAAAGTTTGTAGCACGAGAAGGGACTGGTCAATATAAAAATATAGTATGTTTTCATTAAGGTAATTGTCTTTATTTTTTTTACTAAAGCTTGAAATCTTTTTTTTTTAATATCACTCATCCCCACACTCCCCTCTCTCTTTGGCAACCATCAGCTTGTTCTCTATGTCTGTGGCTCTTTTTCTGTTTTGTTTTGCTTAAATCCATTTTTAAAATCATTTCTGTTACAACAGAAATGTGAACTAAGAAGAAAAGTAAATCTTTTTCTCCATTATAACTTTTTTTTAAAGATTTTTTTAAAATTGGGGAATTGGGGAAGGGGAACAGCGCTGGGGAATTGGGGGAAGGGGAACAGACAAGTTGCTGTTGTTTTGTTTCTTCAGTCTAGTTGTGGAGGACATTGCTTCACTGGCCCAAGTTGGCACCATCATTGCGCTCTTCCCGGGTGAGGCAGATCAGTGGACGGCCGCTCACGGCGGCTGCTTGCTGCTCACGGCGCCTGCTGGCTACAGGTGGTAGCCTGGTAGCCCATGGCAACCCACTGCCACAGGGGCTGCAGCCTACGCCGTCGCCAGTGACTCACGGCAGCCCAGCTCCAGGTTGAGCTGTTGTTCAGCATCTTAGCTGTAGAGGGCAGTGTCACTGGCCCTCATATGTGGGATCCGAACCGGGGCCCTCTGGCATCCCAAGCCAGTTCTTAACCAACCACCACTTGGTCTGAGCCAGCATGTTATAACTTCTTAACCGCTGGCCTCTATAGGGAGAAGGGGGAGCTCTCGGTAATCCTTGTGCATCAGTCACTGACTTGGGTCAGTTGTGAGGACTGTTTAAAGTTGGGATGACATCATCTGGGACATACATATATTAAGTATGAGACAATGCATTGTACATTTAATGACCTTGAGTTACCAAGACAGGTGCCTGCAAAAGTGAAGCATTTTGTTGGCTGCCCTGATGCCACTCACTGTTCATTAGTGAAGTGAGCACAGCCCCTTTCCGTGTGTGTACAGTTTACCACGGTTGCTTATTGATTGCCAACATGTCATTGGAGAGAATTTTCTTTTAACATTAGGTGTGTTGATTACAACAAGCTCATAGTCTACTTTTGTAAAATTGGTTTTAAAGTTAGCACCTCATTATTTTGCTATTCACTAATCAGACTTTTCTAAAAATTAGGTCAAAACCAGTATCAGGAATTGGGAATTTTTCATATTTGTTCCTTCCCTTTGATCACTTTTATATTTCATGATTATGGGATTATAGTCTGTATCAGATCCTGCTATTTCCTCCAAGTTATTCATCATTTCCTGATTAATCATATTTGCCTTAAAACATTTCTAAAGTTATTGAAGTTCAGCTTTTAATTTTAATATGTTTTTTCTGGAGAGTAATGTTTAGGGTACTGATCACTCCTTGTGTCTGGGTTGTTTCTTTAAACTCTACTGAGAAATTGTTAGACTTTACAATATGATAAATATGCTAAGTCTAATTTATAGCATGTATTGTATTTAGTGTACTGGGGTAAAAAGGTATTACAGGTAAATATTTATTTGTGAGAGACTGTGTGTCAGTGTTTGTCTCCTATTGAAGTATTTTAATAGTAATGTCTCCCTTTTTCAAGTAGTATTTTTATATTTTTAATTGGAGAAAGTAGGAATGGAGACAGAAGCATAGGATGTCTGTGGTCCCATGTAAAATTCTCCTTATCCCATCTCAATCTAGTTTAAAAAAAATGACTACCATTAATTGTTTCTTATCTTGAGAAGAGAGCTTTGGCCCTATCTCTCATCTGTGACTACCTTTACATTGTTTTGTACATAAACCAAAGTGATAGTACATTAAGACATTTTCTATTCAGTGGTCTGAGTCAATCATTTTTTTTTAAGATTTTATTGGGGAATTGGGGGAGGGGAACAGACAAGTTGCTTTGCTTTTGTTCTTCAGTCTAGTTGTGGAGGACGTTGCTTCACTGGCCCATGTTGGTATTGTGATCATTGCGCTCTTCCCAGGTGAAGTAGTCGCTCGCCGGCCATTGGACGGCAGCTCACGAAGGCTCACACCCGTTGCCAGCCAGCCCCACTGCAGCCTACGCCGTCACCGGCGACTCACAGCAGCCCAGCTCCAGGTCGAGCTGTTGTTCACCATCTTAGCTGTAGAGGGCGCAGCGTCACTGGCCCTCATGCGGGATCCGAACTGGTGTCCCTGCTGCTCAGAGCTGGCGTCCCAAGCCAACTCTTAACCAGCGCACCACTCGGCCGGCCCCCATTTTTCTTAATTTAGCCATTCAGGTCATGAGAAGGCAGAAGGTGGTTGGTCCATTCTGAATTTCAGGTTAAGGCCTTTATGAAGCCAAGCTATAGTCTGTATGGGGTGGGTAGTAAGGCTTCAGGTTAACAGGTTAACCTGTTATTCGGATTATTCATCAACATACCATCACAAGAAATCTTGGTATGACAAGGTGCTTGTTTCCTAAAATGGATTCATTTATATGTTATATGTTTACAGCTTGGGGAATATTTGGATATTTTGTTCATATAATAATGGTGGATGGAATAAGATGAGAAAAAGCAATTCCACAAGCTGCTAAAAAAATTTTTGTTTGGACACCATGACAACAAAAAAGAACTATGATGATAGCTAATGCTTATTGAGCACTTAGATATGAGGCATCTTATGCTAATACTCAGGATTCCCTGAGAAAAAGGGTCATGAACCTTTTTAACAAATGAAGTAGAGACTCCCTGAGGTTGCAGTGACTGGGCCGAGGTAGCAGCTGGCAAAACCAGGATTTCAAACCCAGATCTGCTAGACTCCAGAGCTGTGTGAAATCTTAACTGCTGTGCTCTGTCGTTGTATCCCTACCCCCCACTCGTGTGTTGTCTTGGTATGTATATTTTAAATATTCTGTTTTAGGTACCAGCTTCTGTGTTTCTCAGTAATATAGCAAAAAAACATTCATCGTTCTCCTGGAGGTCTTTCTGTATTGAAGAGAGTATTTTCCTAAGGCTGATGCCATCTTTTACTTTTTTTTTTTTTCTCTAGCTGAGCCATCCTGCCACCTGTTGGCAGCTCAGCGGCTGCTCAGCTCGGGCCAGGAATTGAACCGCTGTTGCTCAGAGCTCTCATTCTTGAGCAAGCTCCTAACCAACTAAGCCACTCAGCTGGCCCCTATCTTTTACTTTTGAGATTGGCAATTTTCATTGTCCAAATTATTAACAGTTGGAATTTTTAAATTGGATTTATAGATATAAGTAATGTTTTTCAAATAATTTCTTTCTTGTAGGATTTATCAAAACACCTGGATCTTAAGTACTTTTTTTGGTCTTCTAATCGGGGTATAGGATTCACTTAGTCTATGTCATGAAATGATTTTGCTTATAAAATTGTAAATATAGCTGTAAAAACACTTACATAAATACAGCCTTAAATTTGTAAAAGTCTTAATTAATTTATTCTAATCTAGTTTTTCATATACAGTTGACCCTTGAATAACACGGGTTTGAACTGTACAGGTCCACTTATGTGCAGATTTAAAAAATAAATACCTGTACTGTTTTCGATCTGCCATTGGGAGTCATTGGATGCGGAAGGCCAACTGTATGCATTGATCTACACCATTTTATGTAAGGAACTTGAGCATCCTTGGATTTTAGTATCCACAGGGTGTCTTGGGACCAATCCCCTGACGATACTGAGGGACAACTTAAGTTTTGGGGGAGTCAAAAGTTATACTCGGATTTTCTATTGCATGGTGTTGGTGCCCCTAACCTCCCCAACCCCCCACACCTGCATGGTTCAGGGGTAAGCTGTGTTGTGATTTTTCTATTTGGTGTCAGGTTTTTTTACTTGAATTATTTCTAAACACCAAAGATGGCTTTTACCCCGTTTGTATAAAGGCCATGTAATTTGTTTAGGTAGTCCTTCATTTTATAAGCAAACAGGGCAACAGTCAGTGGATAAAGTAGATTTTCTATTAGCATATTATAGTTAGTTAAGGGGACATAACATAAATATGTACTTGAATAATCATTGCTGAAATATCAGACATTGTGATTAAATAATGAAGATGTCTTTTTTATTTTACTTAATTACTTGGCAAGCAAGGGTTTTAGTTTTGACAGTTGTAAACCAAACTCTGTTTATTCCTTTTGGTACTTGGTTGTATGAATACATAATTAGATTTGGGGGTAAAGCCCAGAAAAATTGGTGTGTTATCCAATTTTTAATGTTTGACTATTGGAATTTAAAACATGTTTTTTTACATGCCACTGGTACTTAACTTGATTCTTAAATTATTAAAATGCAACATGCTGAGATTACTAAATTGACGTTCTTTGCAGTACTTGGAACATTTTCCCCCACCACCAATTAAATACCTATTTTAAGCTAGACTTTTGGGGCGGGGGTGAGGGGGAGTGGTACAGTTGGATTTATTTTGTAAACGTACATATAACGACAGAGGAAATACAGAGTGCATTTTCTTTGTCAAGTCAGGCACTTAACAGTTTTTCTCTGCTCCTTAATTTGTAGAGCCAGAATGAAGAATGGGGAGGTTTGTCTGAGGATATCTTATGATAAAGAGCAGTCTAAGGCTTTAGTCCCTTTGACCCCCAACTTGTTTATTGGTAACTACTAAATTTACCATTTTTGTGGCATGGATAAAATGGGATGTTATGCAGACTGTTGCACGTGAGATGATATCAAGTCTTTGCTTGATCCGTGAAGATGAAATAGTTAAATACTGGGTATTGGGCTTTAACCCTCAGCAGTAGGTGCATGATGGTGTTGATTAGCGCTTTGAGATGTGTCAACCTTTGTTTTTTATACTAACAGCATCATTTTGAAATTTGTGGGGGGTTTCCTTTTGAGCTTTGTTTGCTGTTGGTATTGTCTCTCACTAAAATAATATGAAAATGAAATATAAGTGAGTTACCAAAAGCAAGCATTACACTCATGAATTTGCTTCTACTTCGAGATGATCCACTTTATGAACAGATTTACTGGATTTGCAGTTGTTGATCTGCCTCATTTAGAAAATGGTGCTCTATGGAGGGTTAGTGCTGCTAAAATTGATATGTTTTAGTGCTGGGGCTGCATGATATATCTTAGTACTATGCAACATCTTTCTGGAAGTAATAAATCTGTTGGACTGCATAAAAATGGAAAGGTAAGAATCTTATGAGAAAAAGTGATTTCTTTAAAAAAGTGAATCTTTTGTAACTTAAAATTATTTAAAATATGTACTTCTTGAAGTATTTAATAACATGCCTTTTAATATGAAGTTTGGGTTTTTTTAAGTTAAAATCTTGCTAATTAAGAATATTTGGGCATGCTAGTCAAACTCAAGAATTACATTGTTTTAAAACAGTTAGATGCTTTCAAATATATACAATAATACCATTTAACAGGAGAAAGCATTGTGATATAAATCCTCATAGATAATAAACTCCTGTAATTCCTTTGTAATTACCACTGTTTGTGTTAAAACCTTGAAGACTAAACCTTTTTCTTTTAAATTGGGTTAAAAGTTAATGCTGTAGTCTTTTATGCTGACATATTTTAATTTTTTTATAGGTAAGCTTGATTAGGGTTTGCTAGAACAAATTGTGGGTAAGTGAGGTTTGGTTACGCTAATGCTTGAAATGGAAAAATACAGACAGGCAGATACAGAAAAAAACAGAAGGGAGAACAAATCTTGCCTTTCACTTTACAGTTAATAAGAAACAATTTGGCCAATGTCCTTGGTCACTGGTTTCCAGGTTGTAATCATTTTGCTGTATGTTTATGTGTTTTTTGAGCTCTCTTATTTGTCTGCTTTTCAGAATTTTGAGGATCCCCCCCACACCTTGCTGTTTGATTTTAACTCATTTTGAGCCAACTCTTGCTACTTTGGGCTATTTGTAATAATGAACAGTTGGAATAATTTAAAATATTCAGTAACTGTAAACCTGATTTTCAAAACTATTTGACTAGAATCCACAGTAATAAATACATTTTTATGTCACAATAGTTACATTTACATAAACCAAAAAATTTTTGTTAAATAATATTCTTATTTCTTGTTTTGCAATTCACAGTTCTATATTTTCAATGCTGATCCTAATTACTAAATTAATTGCATGAGCCCTAGGATTGGGGCCTACAGAAAGCATATTACTGATGTTGGTGATGATTTTTTTCTTCAAAAAGTACTTTCTGAAAAATTTCAGGGCTTGAGTTCTTTTTTCTCTGATGACACATTATCTTCTGTTTCCTATGTTGCCTTTTTTAAAAAACTAAAAATACCCATTATAAAGAAAATTAACATACAGGCAGGTACACTGCAACATAATCTTACCCGTCAACCAGAGACAATTAGATCAACTCAGTGGTTCTCAACTGGGGTGGCGGGACAATTGTGCCTCGTCAGACACAGTTTTGTTTGTCACAACTGGCAGTGGGGTGCTACTGGCATCTAGTAGGTTAAGACCAAAGATGCTGCTAAACGTCCAATGGTGACCAAGACAGGAATTGTCCAGCCTCAAGTATCAATAGTACTGAGGTTGAGAAATCCTGGTTTAGTTTAACACTGTGGAATATATCAAGATTCCATTTACATTAAAGACTGCTATATCTTTTCAATATAATATATAGTCCAGAGAGTATAAATGACTAGCTGAAAATGAATCAAAGGTAGAAGGGGGAAAAAACAATCCTAAGAATTATGAAAGGAGGACAGATGTGCTTAAGAACACATAAATGGCTGTAAAAATCACCTCCAATTCACCAAAATTACTTTTACTTGATAACTAGTGCCTGGGGAGATAATCTGTGGTTGACTTTAGCACCCAACCCACAGCAAAACTTTTGGGATGTCACTATATAATTTAATTTCCTCAACAACCATCATATCTGTTAATGTCTATTAAGGTAATTGAGTTTTTACCTGGAAATAGAATTGAGTATACCCTGCAGGCAGTTGGATCACTTTTGAATTTTCTGCTCATTTGCCCATCCACTTTAGGGGTTTCATAATTTCTTAAAGGAGAACTAGTTTAAATGACCAGAATTGGCATATATAGACTTTCATTGCATATAGATTTTGTTGGTTTTTTTTTTTACCAAAATAGCTTTAAAGAATTTACTTAGTAAAGATATTGAGAATTTGAATACTTGAAATTCAGTAATTCAAAGAAATCTTTTATGTTTGGAAAATCCTGATTAAATTTAAGGCATTTCAAGTTATCCAAATGGAAGATCAAGGCGAATACAATACAATTACCCTAAAATATGCTTAAAAGTATTTCATTATAGTCTAAAGTTGTAGTTGCTGTTAATTTTTCTTTTTTTATTTAAAAAGTACAATTAACTGCCAGAGAAAGTAATTTATCACAAACGGGTTTTAGAGCAGGGTTTATAAAGATGTAGTTAAGTTAGCCCCATCATTATTTCTAAGACAAATTTATAAGACAAGTGTAATAGAAATAGATTAATAGCACAATAGAAAAAGACAGCAGTAGATATGAATAAGTAATTCACAGATGAAAGAAGAAACAAATGGTCCTTTTACTAAGAATGTAAATTAAAATATCAATTAGACCTTTTTTGGTTGGTTTCTTCTTGGATTGGAAAAGATGAGAAAGACCCTCTTGTTTGCTGTTTGTGAGCACTTGCATTCCATTTTGGAGGATTAGTTTGGTGATATCTATTAATGGCTAAATGTGTACACCTTTTGACCTATCAGTTACACTTCAAGGAATTTTATCCAACAGAAATATACAAATGCCCCAAGACACATGCTCAGTATAACATTAAGCCATTGGAACATAGACAAATATCCGTCAATGGGAAATAGGTTAAGAAAATCACATTACGGCCATGCATGAAACTGTTACCTATCAAAGAAATGATCGATTTCTATGTAATGACATGGTGAAGATACTCAAGGTATATCAAGTGTGAAAAGATCTAGGAGCAGGATGTTAATTTAATGGTATTCTCAAAATAGTTAAGCCTCTCCCCTCTTCTAGAAGTGTAAAACAAGCATGCATCATTCTAAGTGTATTTATAAGGATAAATTTTTTTCATTTATAAAACATTTTTTAAAAATGACAAAAATGCTTTTGTGTGAATAGAAGAGTACATGTACATGGTGTTGCTCCATTAGGTCAAACCAGAGTAGAATTTGCTAAAAGGAAAGTTGCAGCATGTAAAGTGAAGACCTTGTATGCTCCTGACCATTTCAGATGCTAAACATCTGGTGCAGCCATATTGCTATTGCCACCCATTGTTAACTTAATGAAAAAAAATCACTTGGCTTTCCTAGTGCCTCACAATTGCTTGTGAAATAGGAGTGACACCATGAGCCCTGTCATCTAAAAGGCACCTTATACGCCTAAAGTGCTTTCAATTCTTCTCTTTTTATTCATTGCTAAAAATGGATCTTAGTGACTTTGGATACTCTGGCCCTTTGGTCTTCAGCACAAGGAATAGAGGGTTCCAGAGTTGAGAGTAAGGACTTTGCCACAGAGGTCAGTGAGGGGCAATCAGAAGGACTACTGCATTCTAGAACATGAAGGACAACGGACACAATTTCATAGTGCAAGGAATAATGAAGCCCTTTTACAAGAAAAACTGGAGTAGAGCTGTGACTTCAAATTATATTTATTTACTTTTAACTAAATGTCAATTATTTTCTCTGACTATATTGTGTACTAGGAAGAGAAAATCAGAGGCTAGGTTTTCAATTTTGGATCCAGTACCACTAGTTTACTTAAGCACCTCTCATCTCAACAAGACTTAAGCCTTCAGATAATTGCTAGCTTACCAGTTTTTGTTACAGTTTTCCCAGATCACTTTACTTTGAGTCATCAGTCTAGTATGGTGAATGTCTGGAAATGTTGAAGGTAAAGGAACATAGGTGGTTTTGAGAATAGGTTTAACTTAACTCCTCTCTGCTATGTTTGTTATGCTACACTTCCCACTACATCTGGTCCTTTGGTGGGGGGGGGGGCAGGAATTATTCTTAGTATGCAGGGAAGTTGAATGTGCATATATACTAAGGAGAAGGGGCTAATGCAGACAGTGATGGAATACAGGAATAGTATAAAGGGAAAAGTATGTCCGGAGGGTGAATGTGAGTGGATCAAGCATTGGTCTTGGGCAAGATGAGTTTTCTTTCTCCTTTGTCAGGAGGAGATAATGAGGTAAAGCTGCAGATTTTTTTCCCTCATGAGTTGGGGTGAGCGAAATTGAGAATGTTGTAATTTTCTTGGCTTTGAGAAGCTACATCAGCTAGTGGAGAGCTGCTGGGGACTGAGGAGAAAGAGGAGAGGTTGAAAACTTGAAAATGTTGAGGGTTTGGAATAGATTTAAGGGGGAGCAAACCAGTGAGGAGCAAAAGGATGGAAGGTCCATTTCAGATTGAAAAATGCCTAATCTTTATTCAAAAACTAGGTCTCCAAAGAATCTGTACTAAGGGCAACTTTGTGGTTTGTATTTGTTTAATACAACTGGATTAAAACTTTTTTTTTCATTCTGGCTTTTATTTCCATGTAATCTAAATCACTGACATTTTAGTGTATTAAGAAACTCGGTTTGCTGGGTAGTAGAAGATAGTAGGTCTACTTCTGCACAAGGCCCCTTG